ATCCAGGGAACTGGGCTGGCTGGGAGGGACACAAATCCAGGGAACTGGGCTGGCTGGGAGGGACACAGATCCAGGGAGCTGGGCTGGCTGGGGAGGATGTGGATCCAAGGAAAAGGGCTGGCTGGGGCGGATGTGGGTCCAGGGAACTGGGCTGGTTGGGGAGGATGTGGATCCAGGGAACTGGGCTGGCTGGCGAGGAGGACACAGATCCAGGGAGGACACAGATCCAGGGAGGACACCAGGGGCTGGGTCCCCCCGGTGTTTCTGGTTCCTTTGCTCTCTCCTCAGCCCCAGCCCTCCTCCCTGTTTGTTTCCTTCCAAGATCCCAAATTAACTTCACGCTCGACTGTGTCACAGAAAAAAAGCCTCTCTTCCTTTTTTTTTTGTTTTCCAAGAACTGGCTCTCCCTGGTGGTGTTCCACCCCCCTCCCTCCCCTCCCTTTAATTGCTCCTTCCAAAGTCAGCCCTGGCTGCTCCATTCCCCCACCCAGCTCCTTCCCGTGGCTGAAGGACAATCACTAATGTTCCTTTCTATTTATCCTAATTAGCAGGCGGCGTTAGGGACTATTAAGCAGGGAAATTGGAGTGATACCTGCCGGGAGGATCCTGAGGAGCCAGCCCCGTGTTAATGGGATTAGAGCACGGGGGTCTCCAGGGAAACCCGGGGCTTTATGTGGAGGCTGGAACGAGCAGCATTCCCAAGGAGAGGGCAATCACCTGGATTAATTCCAGGCTGAGAGTCCTGGCAGCCCCTGAGCTAAACTCAAGCCCGTGAAAAGCCTGAGCCCCACTCTGCAGGATTAACCCCCCTGGAGGAGGCTGTGGGCTCTGCCCACCACGGATTTGTTGCTGTTGACCTTCACAAATGGGTAAAAAAAAGCTGGAATGACTCTAAAACTCTTCCCACTGGAGGGTTTCATCCCTGCCTGTGCCACATCCCCCCAAAGTCTCACCCCTTGGCTGCCCTTCCTTCCCTTTTCCACCACCCCCTGCCCAAGGCCAGGTTGGACAGGGCTTGGAGCAACCTGGTCCAGTGGGACCATGGCAGGGGGTGGCACTGGATGAGATTTAAGGTCCCTTCCAACCCAAACCATTCCATGATTCCGTGATCTAACTTTACAGATCCCAGGAATGTCGCTCCTCTCTCACAGAGGGAGAAACGGGCTCGGGAGGAGACACTGGGAAGAAATTCCTCCCTGTGAGGGTGGTGAGGCCCTGGAATGGATTTTTCCCAGAGGATGCCCCATCCCTGGAAGTGTCCAAGGCCAGGCTGGACGTGGCTTGGAGCAACCTGAGCTAGCGGAAGGTGTCCCTGCCCATGGCAGGGGGTGGCACCGGACGGGCTTTAATGTCCCTTCCAACCCAAACCACTCCATGATTCTCCTCCAAAACCCACGTTGTCCTTGGATTCCTTTGGACAGGAATTGGGCTTGTGAGGCCCTGGAGTGAAGGACCTTTGCAGGGATGTGCCCCAGGCACGGGATGTCCCCCCTACCTTCGGTGGTGAGGCTGTCGATGAAGAGCGAGGCCGTGGAGGTGGTGACACCCTCGCTCAGAGGGGACAAGGAGCTGTCAGGAGGGGCTGAGTAGTGGCTGCCTTCTGCCAGATCCTCACAGGTCTTCTCATCTGACTGGAAGGAAAAAGGGAGAACAGCTATTTTTCCCCAGGAATGCCAGGGGAGGGTTGTGCTCCCAAGGCTTGGGGCTGCTCGAGCCCCCTGAGGTTCAAACACTCAAACAGGGGTTGGAGAAGAGGAGGAAAAGTTTGGGAAGCACTTAGGCAGGACAAAGGACAATAACTTGGCAAGGTCCTACAGCCTGGGCTTTGTGCATCACTGGGTGACCTCCTGTAGGTCCAGTTTCCCCTCACTCGACCCTCTGGGTGACGGGGAACAAAGCTGAGTTTTCAGCAAAGGAAAAAAAGAAAATCAAACCAACACCACACACACACACAAAAAAAAAAAAAGCCCAAAGCAGAACCAGATGTTTCTCTCCAGCTGATCTCTGTGAGACAAAGGAAGGAGTTCATCCAAGGAGGAGATAATTGTGCTCACAAGGACGAAAACAGGGCTCGTTCCTTCCTGCTCGGGAGTGAGTAAGAGTCATGCTCCGGGAGGAGGAGGAGGAGGAAAAAACACCCCAGAGCCCTCAAACTGCACTGTCTGGTGACTCCTGGAGCTTCTCAGCACCTTCAGGGAATATCCAGCACCCAGAAAAGGCACCAGCAAGGAAAACCCTGGATTGGATGGAGCATCCTTTAAATATCCCAATCCAGGCATCCTCTGTTAAAGGGTCCTGCTGTAATGGGAAAGGGGTAATAAAGGGAAAAAAGGGAGAGCTGAAGGGATATTATCCAAAGGGAATAAAGGGTTATAAAGGGGTGTCCAAAGGGCATAAAAGAACACCTAAAGGGGATAAAGGGATATCTAAAGGGGTTTCTAAAGGGAATAAAGGGATATTTAAGTGGAATAAATTAATATCTACAGGTATATCCAAAGGGAATAAAGGGATATCTAAAAGGATATCTAAAGGGAATAATGGGATATTTAAAGGGCTATCTCCAGGGAATAAAGGCATGTCCAAAAGGATATCTCAAGGGATATCTAAAGGGATATTTAAAGGGCTATCTCCAGGGAATAAAGGCATGTCCAAAAGGATATCTCAAGGGATATCTAAAGGGATATTTAAAGGGCTATCTCCAGGGAATAAAGGCATGTCCAAAGGGATATCTCAAGGGATATCTAAAGGGAATAAAGGGATATTTAAAGGGCTCTCTTCAGGGAATAAAGGCATGTCCAAAAGGATATCTCAAGGGATATCTAAAGGGAATAAAGGGACATCTAAAGGGAATAAAGAGATATCTAAAGGGATGCTCAGTCTGACCCAGAACACCACGGGTCAGGCAGAGCTGAGCATTGAGCTGGGATGTGGCCATGGATTTCCCTGCAGAGCAGCAGCATTCCCAGCCCAGGAGCTGAGCAGGGATTCCCCCCGGGCTCACCTGGCCACAGCCATAGGACAACCACTCCTCCCGGTACCGGTCAAAGCCACTGGAGCACCTGGGGGGGAAAAGTGGGATTAAAGGTGGCAGGAAATGCTGGTGGCACTGTTTGTGATTTCTAAGCTGCCCAAGAGCCCCAAATCCTGCCCTGGTGGGTGCTGTGTATGGACACAAACAAGGACTGGAAGGATGATATCCAAGGTGACACCCAAGCACATGGGGGTTTCCAGCACAGCTGCGCTGGAAGAACCCAAACATTCCCCTTTCCCAGAGGAGGAGGAGAAGGGTCAACACCACTTGTCCAAGGGAAAAGGAGAGGCAGAAAATAGGAACAAAAAAAATATATGGCCTGAGTTTGAGTTTCCATTCCCCGGACTCTGTGCCAGGGCAAGGCCACGAGCTCCACGAGGCTCGTTGGGGTTTTTTCCAGCAACATCTGCACAGGAAAAACACACTAAAGAAATTATAGATGACATCAGGCGAACCAGCAGCGAGAGAAATCCCCGCAGGAGCAGGGAATGGAACAGCTCCCTGACCTTTGGAAAGTCTCGGGGGGGAGCAAAATCTGAACCAGGGGTTCAGGTCACACAAACACCAATTTACCCAAAGACCACAGAGAGCTTTGGATCCTGCTGAGATCTGTGCTTCCTGTCACAACTGTGGGCTCAGGAGAGGCAAAAATACAGATTCCACTGCCCAAGGAGAGAGCTGAGAGGACTCTGGGATGGAATCACGGAGCTGGGATGCAGCTCCAGCCCTGGAACAGCCCCAGCTTCCTCGGGATGGATCAGGTTGGCTTTGCAAGACCAAGCTGGCTGAAAGCCACCAAAGATAGGGGTCTGTTTGCTCCAGCTTGCCAGTCCCACCGTGGGTTTTTTCCATGTGTGATTCCCAGTTGTAACCTGAACTCCCCGGGCTGAGCCGCGGTGACGGCGACAGGACGCGCCCGGAGTCACCAGGGCAGGAGGGACAGGAGCAAACACCACCAACCACTGGGATTTGGGAAGATGGAAAAGGGTGGTTTGAACCCTTACACTGCCGGAGGGCAGGGTTAGATGGGATATTGGGAAGGAATTCCTGGCTGGGAGGGTGGGGAGGCCCTGGCACAGGTTGCCCAGAGAAGCTGTGGCTGCTCCATCCCTGGAAGTGTCCAAGGCCAGGCTGGAGCAACCTGGGATAGAGGAAGGTGTCCCTGCCCATGGCAGGGGGTGGCACTGGACAGGCTTTAATGTCCCTTCCAACCCAAACCATTCCCTGACATGATAAAATCAGATTTGCAAACACCATAAATTTGGAACAATCAGAAGCACCAAGTGCTTGAACCCCCGGGGTTCAGCCCAAATCAGACCCAGACAAAGCCACTGCACCCCAGGCTGAGTTTTGCCACCAAAGCAGATGTGAGACCATCCCATCCTCTGCTCTGAAGCCACCACTGCCACTGACAAATGACATTCCCATGGCTCGGGCTGGATCCCAGCCCACAGCAGGCAGGGAATCGATGCTGATTTATAGGTGGCTTTGTTGATGGCTCAGGATCTTTTCCTGTCCCCTGCTCACACCCTGCTGGAAGGAGGGGGGCAGGAGCCTGTGCCTTCCTGGGAGAGCAGGATTTCCACGTGAGGATCTGTGTTATTGGGTCCCCTCCCCTGCCACCAGCTCCAAATAAAGAGTTCAGCACAATCTCATTAAGCTCCCGTGCTCTGTGTGGAGCTGCTGGAGCTGGAGGAGAGCAGGGGGCAGGACCAGAGCCTCCAGTCACCCCAAAAACAAGGCAGGAAGTGCCCCTCACCCTGGCTATGCCTTGTCCCTCCCAGCTGGGGGGTGATGAGCATTCCCAGCTCCAGGACCTGCCTGCAGCCTGTCCCAGCCTCCCCTCCCTGCACCTCTGTTTGATCCCAGCCCAAGTCAGGACAAGTTTTCCCCGTGTTTTAAGCTGACTGACAAAAATGTGAGTCCTGCTCCAGGTCTCAGCCTGTTCCTGGACCAAAAACCCCAGGAAATGTCTCCTTTCTGTGGCTTGTAACCGGAGATCGGGTCAGTGCTCAACCGTGACTGGGAGACCAGGAGCAGCACCCAACTAACCCAAAAAACAGCAAAAAGAGAGAAAACACTAAAAAACCCCCAACACCACTGACCCAGCACCAACCCTGGCCCTGTGCTCCCTGTCCCAGCTCTGGAAACATGGGCAAGGGAAGAGGTGGGAAGGAATCCCAGCCCAGGTACCTCTGCAGGACGTGACACCAGCTGCAGTTGAAGGTCAGCTCCGAGGTCACACACGTTTCACAGCTCTGGTGCTGGAGACAAGCTGGAAAAGAGAGAGGAGAGATGTTCCAACATCTGTGTGGGCACAGGGGAGCAGATCTGAGGGCTGGTGGCTCGGGCAGGACCGGAGGAGCAGCCACTGAGGGTCCGACCCAACCTCTCTGCCATGGACCTGCAGGATGGGCTCCCAGTCCATCCATAAACCTCCTTTTGCTCTGTTTAGCTGGGAATTCAAACACCTGTGAGGCTTTTTGCCCTTTCTCATCGTGCAGAGGGTGTTCCTCGGGAGGCAGGACCAGCACAAACAGCTGAACCCCCCCCTCGTGCTGTGTCCACACCAAGTGGTTCTGCAGGAACACCAACATTTGGTGTCCCCCTGTGTAGGAAAGATGGTCAGGAGGGGCTTGGCTGCAAAGAAAGACAAGGAAATCAGCAGTTTTAACAAGCCCCTCAATGGCAGAGCCGAGAGTGGCTCCAGTGCTGTGACATTCCCAGGAATGAAGGCCTCCACTCCTCATCTCCTCTCCCATCCTGAGCTTTTCCCGAGCCATGTGGAGGCAGGGAGCAAACTCAGACCTCTAAAGCAAGCCAGTCCATCCCTTCTGCCCCCAACGAGGCCAAAAAACTGAACCCCCAGAAGAAAGCAGCAGAGTGGGGTTCTCTGTAGCTCCGTGGCTCCCGTGCAGACATCGCTCTCAGCTCCCCGAGCTGCCAGGGTTGGAAAAAAAAAAACAGGCAAAAAACAAACCAGCAAATCTTCAGGAAGAAAAAAAAAACAACCCAAAAAACAAACCAACAGAGTCACTGCAGAATGGTTATTTATGTTCTGCTTGCAATAACCTGCCTGCTGTTAAAATTGTCATAAAATACCCCGGGGAGAGCGTTCGGTGCAGCCCCTCCGTGTCTCCATGGCAGATTTACTCCCAGCCCGTATTTACCGGCTGCTGACGGCTCTCCCTCGTGCCCGAGTGTCCTTGGATCCAGCCACTAAAAACGGGGCCTGTTTCGCAGCAGCTCTCAGAAATTTCAGCTCCGTGTGGAGGCGTTGAAAATGTCTCGATGCGGAGACCCGGCGCGAACCCGGCGGGGGCCCGGCGGGATGAGCTGCAGCTCCCGGAGCAAAGAGGGGGAATTTTGGGTGGGAATCGGGAGCAAAGAGGAGGAATTTCGGGTGGGAATTGCGAGGTGGGAGCGAGGGATGAAGGGGTGAGAGGTTGGTGAGCAAGGAGAGCAGGAGGAAAGGTGCTGGTGGAGCAGCTCAGAGCACGGCGGCTCCATCCTGGCTGGCACCGCTGGACCACTGAGCAGAGGGATGGTGGATTATCCCTGCAGATCCCTCCTTTATCAGCAATTCCTGTGCCAGTTTTGCTGCATCCCAGGCTCCCATCTTGGCTGTGGAGCGCACCAAGGTGGGATTTCTGCTGGCTGAGGTTAGCTCTGAGGGGGTTGACCCACACAGGGCTGGATGTACCAGAGGTTCAGCAACAGCCGGGCACGGTGGGGACACCAGGGCAGAGCACAAACTGTACCTTGCACAGCTCCAAGGATCCCACCTGCCAAGCCATGAATGGCATCCCCCTCCCAGCACCCCCGAACCCGCCTGGAATTCGGTGCTCCCCGGGTGAGATCCCGCAGGGAAGGGGCCGGGGCTGCACTCACTGGGCAGGGGGGTGAACTCCACGGCAGACAGGCTGCTGATCCTGCTGGTGTCCAGCTCCACACGGTGGTACTCGTAGATGGTCCGGCGCCGGGACTCTGCAACGCAGAGCCTTGGGGTTAGGCCAGGCCTAAACACCCCCCCGTGAAGGGATTTATGTGGGGGAGGCCTGGGGGGGCTGCTGGGGAAAGGCAAAGGTGGCCCCAGGCCGGGGGCTGCAGGAGAAGGGATGGGGAGTGACTGGGAGGGCAGGAGGGGTGGCAGGGCACAGATCCTGCCCCCCCTGTTCTGCCAGGAGGAGCTCAGGGCTCGCTGTCCCCTCTCCCTGACCAGAGGCTGCGCTGGTGGACGTGCTCCAGCCCTGAGTTGCTCCAAACAAACACATTGTTCCTCACTGACTCACGGGCTGGAGCCTCCCGGGGCTCCCCCCAAAGCTCCCCCTTCCCCCCTGCCCTGTCCCCTTCCCTCTCTTTCCCCTTCATCCTGGGGTCTATCCTTGGATTCAGGCTTCTCCCAGATGGTGGCACCAGCCAAGATGCTCCTCTGGCACCAATCTCCGTGGACAATCCAACCTCTCCTCCCAGCAAGGGCACTTGGAGCCCAGGAGATGAGCAGGACGAGCCCCCTCCCCTCCTGCCCCTCCTCTCCACCCTCCAACCATCGTTTCTCCACCTCGTGAGGCTCTTTCATGCCCAGTTCTTGCACTTCTTCTCCCCTCCCAGCCCAGGGCAGGGCTTGGGAAGGCCGTGGGGTGGAGGGAGCAGCCCTTGGAGGAGCAGCTGTGGGGCGGGAGGGGAGGAACCACCCAAGGCTGGCCCCGGTTCCTGCACAAACTGCTGCGAACGGGTCATAAACCGGGGCCAGATGGCTCCAGGAACACCAGGGGAAAGCCACCACACTGGGAGGGAGGAGCAGGGCTGGGCTGCTCGTGACTGGAGAGGCTGGAAGAGCCTTTCTGGGGAGCTCAGCCCAGGCCTGCAGATCATGGCACATGTGGAATAAACATGTGGACATGGATGTGGATATTCCCATGTGCTGTTGACAGAGGTGCAGATCCCAGTCGTGGACACACATGGAAGGACACCCAGAGCAGCAGTGGGGCGGCTGCAGACCCTCCAAACCTCCCATCCCTATGGGAATGGGGCACCCTGCACCCCAGAAGCCTCTTGTCCATCTGCATCCCCGCTTGGAATGGGAGAAGAACTGAATTCTTCCCCTTTGTCCTCATCAGCTGGGAATCAGGGAAGAGCTTGGCTGCTCATGGAGAGTCTGAACACACCAAGGCCCACCCAGAGCACGAGGCTGAGAGATGGTCCTGGCCACGGGGAGATGCACCAGGGGGATGCACTCCAAGAGGGATGCACTCCAAGAGGGATGCACTCCAAGAGGGATGCCCAGGGAACACAGGACATGAGGGACAGCCAAGCCCCACACCCCTCCTCACACTCCCCTGCTCCCTGCGAATCCAAGCAGCTCATCCTCACGTCCTCAAGTGCCCAAAGACGAGGATGTCTCACCCTTCCCTCCCTTCTCCCAGCTGCCAAGGCATCCCTGTAAGATCCCTGTGGGATCCCTGTGGGATCAGCTCCCTCCCTGCCCCAGCAGCTCCTCACCAGGCACATCAGGAGAAGGGTTGAGGACCATGAAGGCGTCGGAGAGCCCGGCCTTCACGGGGTGCTGGGTGGCACTGATCTGCAGGACTGGCACCGGGATCTGCAGCCAGGGAGACAGCACAGGATGGATCCCAACCCCGCCCCAGCTCCTGGTGCTGCTGCAGAGGCCTCCAGGAATGCCCAACCCCAGGGTGTGAACAGTTACAACCCCGACCCCCCCTCCCAAACCCACAGGGACCCCCGTGGGGACCCTCCTGCCCCGCCTTCCCCTGCAGGAGGAGGCACCTGATGCCCCCAGGTGTGCCAGGAGGGGGAGGATCTCTCACCTCCTTGTACCCAAAGACGATCCTCCCGCTGCTGTGCAGGGCTGCCTGGAAGGTGAAGCTGCCCATGTCCTCCTTCCCCTGCAAGAACACCTTGTCCCACTGCACCACGAAAACTGTCCCTGGGGGATGAGGGTGACCAGAGCAGGTCAGGCCTCTCTTCCCTCCTCATCCCACCAGCCTGGCCCGTCCTCTTCTGCCCTCCAAGGCATCTCATCCCTCAACCTCCAGCCCTTTGCTTGGAGCAGACCCCCCCTTGCCACCCATCCCAAACCCTCCTGGGGGGCAAAACACCCATCCCAAATCCCCCTGGGGGGACAAACAGCCCCTGATGTCCCCTGCCCACATCCCCAGCTTGGCCCAGAGAGCCAAGCTGTGCCCGGCTGGACGAGGCTGGAGCGGGGGCAGCCGGGGCAGGGGGTGTCCAGGGCAGGGGGTGTCCAGGGCAGGG